AAAAAAAAGTGAGTTTTGGGGTTCAAAGTGGTGAGCTTTGCTTTATTTCCAGGTGAGCTTTGCATTGTCCATTGGTGAGCTTTGTAGTGTAGTGTGGTGAGTTTTGCTTTATTAGCTTTTTTTAAAAAAAAAAAGTGGTGAGCTTTGCATTGTTCCTTGGTGAGCTTTCCATTGACAGTTGGTGAGCTTTGCATTGATAGTTGGTGAGCTTTACACTTTGACCGCCCATGACCAATGGCCACCACCGATGACCCCCACTATTTTCGTGGACCGGTGGTTGAGCGGTGGTTGAGTGGTGGTTGAGTTGTGGTGTTATTTTTTTAACTTTTTTTATTTAAAAAAAGTGGTGAGCTTTGCATTGACAGTTGGTGAGCTTTGCATTGGTAGTTGGTGAGCTTTGCATTGGCAGTTGGTGAGCTTTCCATTGCCAGTGTTGTGTGTTGTGTCATCTCATTGAAGCATGCCATCTTACCATAAGGTGTCATCTCACTGGAGTCAATCCCATATATATATAGATCTAGATGGCGGCCCTTTCTCTCTCTAGATTTCCTGCAGCCGGAAACCCGCCGGGGAAAATCACCTCTCATACAAACATGCCGAAGAAAACTCTCTTCTCTGATCTTCTCAAGGGAGACCTCACCTCTCCCACAGGCCAAAGATGTGGTTTCTACAAGGGAGCCCCATCAGTAGTGTTCACAGCGGAAGAAGAGAGGGTACTTGCTGAGAATTTTGCCTTCACAGTGGTGGGAAGAAGCCCCAACCATATTTCCTTACGGGCAACTGAGGAATTCCTTATCAAAGGTGGATATAAAGAGTTCAAGCTACGACGGTTTTCCTCCAAGGAAATTCTCTTCATCTTCAAGCATGAAGAAGATTATTTACGTTGGTTTCATAGGAGAAGATGGACCATCAAGGGTACTACAATTTTCATCACCAAATGGACTCCAGACCATTCTTCTCAGTTCGAAAGCCCTATAATTCCTATCTGGGTTGAGGTAAAAAACATCCCTCTTCATCTCCATGATCACAACTCCCTTTTTACAATTGCTAGTTCTCTAGGAAAACCCCTTAAGCTTGACTCCAACTCCGTCTTAGGGGTTTTCCCAGACCGCAGTAGATTTTGTGTTGAATTGGATGTGTCCACCTCCAAGGCTCCTAATATTCACGTTCGCCTGGGTGCAAAAGACCTATGGCTTCCATGTACATATGAATCCCATACTCCTTACTGCTCCTTATGTTCAAGATTTGGTCACGGAACTATTGAATGCCGGAGAAAATTGCAGGAGAACCTCACTGAACCAGCTCCGACCAGTGAGGTGGGGCAGGGAGGAGCGGGTATGCATGGACAAAGGAAAGATGAGGGATGGATATGGGTAAAGGCTAGAAGACAACACAAAAGTGACATTCACCCAGTGGGCCAGGTCAATCATCCAGCTCCTCCTTTTCCTTACAAACCCATTGCCCAACGTAAAAATTCCTCCCATCCTTCAAAACATAGGGATACATCCAACAAAGGAAAAAATGCAACCCATCAACCCACTGAAATTATGGCGGGGCCACATTCTCACCATAATGTTGATGATTGGGAATCATTTATGCCGTCCATAGAAATCATCCAGGAAGAACAGCCACTCCTTAATCTGGTTCGTGGTGACCCATCTGCGTTGGACCCCTCTCCTTCCAAGGTAGTGGAAGAATGCCCCTTCCTAGATCTCTCTTATCTTATGGTGGAAAAGCCAATGCGCTGCATGGACATCATCCCCTTCATCTCACAGCTGGACTCAACTCCTGACAAAAAGGAACCTTTCCAGCCAACTCCCGGTAGCAAAGATGACTATTGGACTCTCACACATCTGGACTGCAATTGGGAAAATCCTGAGCAAGAGGATCAAGAAGTGGAAAATATTCCTATCTTGTGTCACTCTGAGGGTGAAGAGGATGATGTGCCTTTCATCACTGGAAAACTGGTTCCTTTGGAAGTGGACCTCAACAACTGCTCTCAAGTCTCCTTTCCAATCCCTAAACCCACAAAAGCGAAGAAACAAATCCCCCCCAGTAGTAGGGTTACAAGAAGTAAAACCGCTAAAAATGTATCTCCCAACCTTTTTATTCCATGAAGCTTCTTTTTTGGAACATCTGTGGGGTTGCTTCCTCCCTCAGCAGACTATTTTTCCTCAAGAGGAAGCACAACCTGGACTTCTTATGCATCATTGAACCTATTGTACATGCCTCCCAGATTCAATCTTATATGCTTAGCCTGGGTTTCTCTCATCACCTTTCATCTCAAAACAACAAACTTTGGATCTTTTGGAATGCTCAAACCCTAACCCTTCTATCCTATAAAGAGGAATCACAAGTTACTCATTGTGAATTCTCTTTGGACTATAGCTCTACCTCTTTTGTTATTTCCTCAGTATATGGTTCACATACTGAGGCAGGCAGGAAAACCCTCTGGTCCAATCTCCAAAATTATCAGCCCTTGCAGAATAATTGGATAATAGGAGGTGATTTCAATGCCATAACATCACTCCTGGAATCCAAAGGAAAATGTATTCCTAGACAACAAGGTATGGAGGATTTCCTCAACTGCATCGACAACTGCAGGCTTATCTGTCCAGAACCAAAAGGTTCTATCTTCACTTGGTCAGGAGTACGCAGTCAAGGTAGAACCTGGCGCAGACTTGATAGAATTTTACTCAACCTAAACACTTTGGCTTTCTTTGAGGAAGTGGAACTTTTGCACCTTCCAAGGGCAAACTCAGATCACAAACCACTGCTCCTCATATGCAATGGGCAGTGTCACTCAGGCCCAAAGCCTTTCAAGTTCTTAAATGTCTGGACCCATCATGATTCCTTCATGGATACTGTCAAAAGTTCTTGGCACAACACACCCACTTCTGGAGGCATGAGGGGGCTAATCTTTAAACTCAAAAATTTAAAGATTGCTCTGAAGGAATGGAATTCTTCCCACTTTGGAAATATCTTCCTTAAACTGGAAGAAGCTGAGAAAAAAGCAGCCAAAGCCCAGGAGAATTTTGAGAATGATCCAACAGACCATAACTGTGAAATGGCACAACAAGCAAATGCTCAACTCATCCATGCTGTAAACATTGAGGTGGCATACTGGAAACAAAAAGCAAACATCAAGTGGCTTGAGAAGGGAGACACAAACTCCAAAACATTTCAGGCCTTTGTTAAGGGGAAGAGGCAGAAGCTGAAAATCAACCATATCCTGTCTTCTGAGGGCAAAGGTCTCTTTTCCCAAGAGGACATAAAAAAGGAAGCAATTGCCCATTTTCAGAAGGCCTTCTCATCCAGTCCCTGTGGTATTATGGAGCCTATCCTTTCTAATATCCCAGCTGTCATCACCCTTGAAGATAATGCTCTGTTAACTTCCCTTCCTTCCTTGGAGGAAGTAAGAGACACAATCTGGAGCCTTGATGGAGACAGTGCAAGTGGTCCTGATGGGTTCAATGGTAATTTCTTCAAACATTGTTGGCCTATTATTAAACAGGATGTCGTGCTGGCTTCTCAAGAGTTTTTCCTAGGTCTTCCTATTCCAAAAGGTTATGAAAGCACACATATATCTCTTATCCCCAAGAAAGAAAACCCTAAAAGGTTTGATGATTTCAGGCCCATCTCTCTCTCAACCTTCATGAGCAAAATTAACACCAAGCTGGTTGCAAACAGATTAAAGATCCTGCTTCCAAAAATCATCTCAGAAGAACAGGCAGCCTTCCAAAAGGGGAAATCCTGTGATGACCACATCCTTCTGGCAAAGGAAGCTTTACATCACATTGACAAAAAGGTGTTTGGGGGCAATGCCATCATCAAAATTGACATGGCCAAAGCCTTTGATAGGATGGATTGGGGCTACCTTGAACACATCCTCAAGGGTTTTGGTTTCTCTGATTTGTCCATCACTATTCTCATGGCAAACCTTAAAAACACCTACATCAGTATTCTCATAAATGGGGAACCCACTGGTTTTTTCAAGATGGAAAGGGGGGTAAAACAGGGCGACCCCCTATCCCCTCTTCTCTTTATTATTGAAGGGGAAGGGTTATGCAGACTTATTAACCATCACATGTCTTCTCATTTTATTAGCAGGTTTAATGTGGGTAGTGTACCTATGGTAAGTCACCTCATATACGCAGATGATCTCATCATTTTCACAAAGGGTGACATTAGAAATCTGTTAAGAATCAAAGCAATTCTCAACGAATACTTCTCAGCCTCTGGTCAAGATATGAACAATAGCAAAAGGAGATTCTACACCAACAAATCTACAAAGTCTGTCCAAATTCAGAAGATGGAGGAGGCACTAAACATTAAAGCTGGTCATTTACCCTTCACATACTTGGGAGCTACTCTCTGCAAAGGTATCCTTAAAAGAGAACATTGCAATAATCTGGTGAATCATTTCCAGAAACACCTTACCTCTTGGTACAGCAGAACCATCAACCAAATGGGAAGATTAATCTTGATTAAGCATGTACTTTCTTCCATACCTTTACACCACCTTGCTGTTAACCTTTTACCCATGTCTGTCATTGTTCACCTCCACTCTCTCATGAGCAATTTCTTCTGGGGAAGCAACAAGGGCACCCCCAAATATCACTGGAAAAGCTGGAACTTTATGTGCCATCCCAAACACGCGGGGGGGCTTGGGATAAGGGACTTGGACACCATCCAATGTGCTTACTCCCTCAAACTATGGTGGAAGATTCACACTGACAATGGATTATGGGCCACTTACATGAGAAACAAATACCTAAAAGACAATCTTGTGAGGGAAAAAATCACGGACTCCCCCACATGGAAGAGGATTTGCAGGATTGATCACCTTGCCAGAGAACATTGGTCTTTGACAAACAATATCCCTAGATGGGATGGGGGGGTTTTCTCCTTAAAGTCTGCTTTTCAAACTCTTATTGGGGGTCGGACAGAACTATTGACGGCCAGGTACATATGGCACAAATCACAGATCCCAAAACTCAGAACTTTCATGTGGAAAGCTCTTTACAACTGCCTCCCATTTCCCAGAAATCTCCACAGGTTTAACTTTCATCTTCCAAGCATTTGTATCTTTTGTAAAAGCCACGAGGACACTCTTGACCATTCTCTACTCAGTTGCGAATTCAGTAGAGCAATTTGGAACTTCTTTGCTAGGTTGGTTAATGGCCCCTTAATAAGGTCACCCATTACCCTTTGCCAATACCTTCTGTCATGGTGGTTTACAGGAAATCAGAAATCCTTCAAAGGAATCCTCAGGCTGATCATACCAGCGATCATCACTTGGTCACTTTGAAAAGCAAGGAACACCTCCCTCTATGAAGAGAAACTCATCTCCCAGATCTCGGTTACGCAGCAGAGCTTCCAGCTGATCCAAAGCTGGTGCTGGATTAACAGAAATCGCAAGTGGATTATCTACGATCAGGACTTCCAAGGTTGGGGTTTGGACCACTTCTGGCGCAAGGGGAAGAATTTAAAATCCTCCATCCCGTTTAATGTTTAAATTCCCGTTTAATAAAACCTTCTTTAAAATAATATATATATATATATATATATATATTTATTTATTTATTAAATAAGTTTTATTGAACAAAAAGGAAAAAAGTACAAAGTGGGTGGCCTAGAGTCCCAACAGAACGGCCAAATGAAAGCAACCAAATAAAAGCATAAAATGAGAAACAACCAACAGCAAACAAAAGAGTAAAACCAAAGCAAGTTCTTCCATCCTCTTACTATATATATATATATATATATATATATATATATATATATATATATATATATATATATATATATATATATATATATATATATATATATATATATATATATATATATATATATATATATAGGTGACCATTTGGGCCATTAATTAATGATACATTGGGCCACACACCTAGATTTAGTGATGATTTATGTATATTGTAGGATTGTAGGATTGTATGTTTCACGTTTTTTTGTTAGATTTTCCAAATCTTGACTCTTAGAGCCCCACACCATTTAAATGCTACACTGTTAATATTTTCCAAAATATTAGGTTTTATTATAATTAATTTACGTTTTATAAAAAACGTTGGGTCATTACCATAAGTTAGAATTGGGTAACCGTTTGGGACATTAACTTATGCTACATTGGGCCACACACCTAGATTTAGTGATTATTTATCTATATTGTAGCATTTAAGTTTCACGTTTTTTTGTTAGATTTACTAAATCTTGACCATTAATGCACACCAAACATGCTTGGTAATATTCCATGTATCCCTCACATTAAATGCTACACTGTTCACAAGGTAATCAATACTTATACTCTTAGAGCCCCACACCATTTAATAATTACGGAGTATTTAATTCGATTACATCTTCAAGTACAATTTTAAAATTAATTAAATATATTTCCATAATTAGATCACTGAATATTTTTCAAAATATTAGGATTTAGTATAATTAATTTCCGTTTTTCAAAAAAAAAACCTTGTGTCATTCTCATAAGTTAGTTTTTTTATATTTCGTATTACAAATATATATATATATATATATATATATATATATATATATATATATATATATATATATGACCGACTCCGGCGGAGAAGACGGCGACGACGACACCGTGAACTTTTACCTAACGCTGTAAGAATGGTTTCCGCGGCCACCTTGTTCCGGTACACGCTCAACAAAGGCGAGTATGTGTTTTCTCTCTGCAAAAAGAACTACTTAGCAGGACATATCAACGAAGGTGATGCCATGGTTAAGAATTTCTTTCTAGGAAGGTTAACATTCTTGCAGCATTTCAATAAAGGGGAGGAAATGTCACCAACGATAGGACCTCAGGGTGGAACTCTTCTTGTTCGGAAGATAGCTATACCAAATCCCATGCATGTTTTTGTAGGAGATGTTGTAGTCCTTAAGGACCCTGTCAAGTCAGATGATTTTCTGGTTCGAAGATTGACTGCAATTCAAGGATATGAGATGGTGTCAAACAATGAAAAAGATGAACCTTTTGTTCTTGAAGAAGATCAGTGCTGGGTAGAAGCTGACAATGGAAACATAAAGCCCAAGGATGCATATGACAGCCGTACTTTTGGGCCGGTATCCATGGCAAACATTGTTGGTAGAGTTATTTACTGTCTAAGATCAGCCGTCGACCATGGCCCCATCAATAACAGTAAATTTGGCGCAACGAAGGATTATCCCGTGCTTGAAGTTGAGTTGGATGTGGAGGAGATGATCAAGAATCACAAAGAATAGTATTCATAAATCCTGTTTGGCTTTCTGCAATATAATGGCTTTCAGTTTGGGATAAGCTTGCTTTCAGAGGGCTGGCATTGGAACTAACACTTTGAGAATTTGAGAAACTATCTCTATGGTATGTTTGGGTTGGGTCTTGGAAATTTCTTGGGTAGGAAAATGTTAAAAGGAGAGTTATTTATTCAATGTTTGGTTTCATGTCTGGAAAATGCCAAGGAATCAAAATAAAAACCGGTTACTTCTAATTGTTAAAATCAAAATATATATATATATATATATATATATATATATGTTTTATATATTCTTACTTTACTTTTTAAGCACTCTTCAAAATTATATTATAAATTCTTACTATACATATACTCTATTTACTGTAAATAAATATATTATGTATTTTTTTGAGAGCAAAATATATAATATGATTTTTTCACAAATGTTGAAAGAATAATATATATACGTATATAGCATTTAAGTTTCACGTTTTTTTTGTTAGATTTACTAAATCTTCACCATTAATGCACACCAAACCGCTGATATTTTGTATAATATTTTAGCTTACTCATGGTCTTCTAGAGTAACTTCTATAAACTTTTGCTCTCTGCCTCTGATTAAGTTTGTTTGAATCTTGGTTCGAGCAACAATCTTTCTAATCATGTCTGCATAACAATTCTTGTGATTACGTAATGGATCAAATATTGATAAATAAAAATTCATTTGCGAAATGCATGTAGGTAATTAGATTATTTTTGAAAAAGAATCAATTGGATCGTTTTAATTAAAATATAGTAAAAATAATACCTGAAGCAATTGCTTAACTATTCCCAGAATTGATCACATTTATATTTCGTTATGCACTTGTGTACATGTTCTAAAGTGAAATTTGTTTATGTGTATATTTTGTTATGATTATGTGTTTGTGTCGTTATGTATTTGTGTTGGCCACACATTATTTTCATAAAGAAGCTTAAGACTAAAAAAAATGTTGTAAAAAATAATACCAATCAGAAGTTGATCATTCAAACATGGTTGACTTTCAAGAATTGGAAATGGCTTCAAGTCGAACATCATCCGGGGGAAATTACTCCGATTTAAAGTTTTCACTTCGGTCTTTTTGAAAAAAACCCAAGAGCTTATCATTGCTAGCAGTTTTCAATCTTTGATAATTGTCATGGACAAAAACATTTCGAATGACGTAAACACCACCCTCAATGATTTGCGTTTCAAACTTCTCTTTTTCATCCCGAGCAAGATGTGCGTGAATCCTAGTTCCCTCAAAAAAGTATATAAAATGAGATTATGAATTTTGGGTTGGAAAAAAAACAATTGTAATAACTTGTAGAATACATTACATGCTCATCGTGAAAGAGGATCTCCATGGAATCTCCACCCTTCGCCCACTTAGGAACGAAGTAAACCCGAATAGCCCTCAACATGAGAATCCAAGAATTCTTATCGCTGTTGAGTTCCGCAATTGGAGTGAACATTGTCATGGACCTGTTTTCGGAATTTTGAGCCATATTTTTGGTATATATGTCCGTATGTTAATATCACTGGTTTGGATGGAAAGAGGTGTAGGTTTGGATGGAAAGAGGTGTATATATATTATTTGGGAAAAGAAAGTAAGTTTAAGCACATTAAATGCTTGGATTTTGTAAATCTAACTATTAAATTGATAAGATCTAAAGCATTGATATGACACACTTCCACATAAACAATTATTACATTGCTTTATGGAGCTCCGCACCAAACCGTCAAACGCAACCCAAAAATCTGTCAGCAGCATGCCCAATCCAGCTAAAATTTCGGCCCATGTCAAGCAGCTCGGTCCGGCCCAATTGATGGTGGCAAAAAGGCGGGAACACTATTCCTAAGAGCTTCTTACCATTGTAAATTCAAAGATTACTTAACATGGAAATATAAACATTCATTTTGAAAACCTTCAACACATCAATAATAATCAAATGGGCAAAATGAGAATCTGCGAGCCATGTTAATCGACTTACAGGGCAAGGTAATCGATTATCGAGCTACGCTGGACTTCGATTATCATACCCTGCGGATTCTTGAGTTAGAGCTGGTTCACAAGATAATCGATTATCACAGAAGCAATAATCGATTATCAGGTCTCTCTAAACTTGGGTCTCCTAGACAAATCAACTTGACAATCAATTGTCATAAGGTGACAGTCGACTATCACAGTTTGTGGAACTTTGGGAACAGAAGCTGCACAACATGATAATCGATTATCAACAATGGATAATCGATTATCAGCTTGTTTTGAACCCAGGGCCATCATGTTGAACAAATCATTCTCATACAGAATCAAACCTATCTGTAAGTGATGAACTTAAATTTATTCTTCAAGCAATGCATTCATATCATAATGTATATCCTAGACGCATGTTTAGGATCATGGCATACTTGCATCCCGTGTCAAGAGGTCAGGCCTAGTGCGCCTCTTCCGCGGGCCCGTCCAGGAGAGTTCGGGATCCAACGAGTTTCATCAGGAGGGCTTGTGTACGTACATGGTAGCTAGGCTTTCAGCTACCACCCACAATTCTAGTCTCTTTCAAAAAGACTAAGGCGTTCCTCGGCTCATCTACCGCGTGGGGATGATCATGAGGGCTTGTGTTCTTGATCTAAATTAGTTTACTAATATTCTACTCTCTAAGAGAGTTTTTGCTTTTGAGTGGTTTAGTGTTGTGAACACTTTAAGGGAGGTTTGTTCCCTTGGTTGTATGAAGGAAGGGCATATTCCTTCGGGTTGAAGTCTTGGAGTGCGGTATCTCTGAGCAAGTGTATTGAGGCTCGTGGGACTCGAGCTCTCAGGTTGTAACGGTTTGTTAAGCACCCGTAAGCTTAACGGAAGCAGTGTAGCTCGAGAAAGTCTCTCAGGAGAATGGACTAACCACACGTTGTGGTGAACCAGGGTAAAATCAGTGTGTTCTTTCCTTACGCTTTTTTATTCCGCTCTTTACTTTATTCCTGCGATTTTTATTCCGTGAAAAATTTATAAACATTCTCGTGTCTCAGTATTAACCTCCATCTAGTGAAGGGCACTTATTCTAACACTTCCAACACCTCGAGACCCCGACGATGCGATGGAGGCTCAAGAACTGGTTGTGTGGCATGAATTAGCTATGACAATTGTGTGTTTTAATGAATTATGTGTTCTGATTGATAATGAATTGGATAGAATTGTGTTTTAATGGATTCTGTGTTGTGATTGACAATGAATTAAGTAAAGAATTGTGTTTTAAAGAATTTGAAGAATTTTGTGTTCTTTCACTGCTGTTGTTTTTATGTTGTGTTGTTTCACTGGGGTACTGATGGTAAAAACGAATTGCAGCAGAAAAATGTTCTGCAAACTAGTCCATTTGCAACAGATTTATTCCGTTGCAAAGTCTGTCACAAGGGGCAAAATTGGAGAGGACTTATGTTTGTCGCAATAGCCGACGCAATCTGCGACGGATTGCTACTTCCGTCGCAAATCAGGCAAATCCGTTTCCGTCGCAACGCAGATCTGCGACAGATGTGTACATCTGTCACAAAGTTTTGAAATGCAACAACTTTCAAAAATACAGTAAAAAATTAAAAAATAAAAAATACATATTAAAAACTAAATCAAAAGATCTACAAAATAGTGATATCATAATTATATTATTTTATCAAATGACTAATGAAAATAAGAGAAAAAGTCAATGAAGTTCGACCTAGTAAATACTCTCTCTATTCCATTTTAAATTGCCTATTTGCCTTTTTCTCTGTCCTAAGATAAGTTGCCTGTTAGTTGTTTTCGTAAACTTTTAAAAATAAAATACCTAAACTACCCCTAAAATAAGTCACTCATTATCACCTTATCTACTCATTTATCGTCACCCCTCCTAAAAAGTAATGGCAATTTCAAAAAATCAACTCTATTTTTTCTTTTCCTTAAATATGCCCAAAAGTCAAAATAGACGATTTAAAACGCGACGGAGGGAGTAGTAAACAAGCTATTTAAATTGGGACGTAGAGAGTATTTAAAGGAGTCAATTAAATATTAATTATTTGACACTTGTATTTTTGAAATCTAAGCCATGAACATACTTAAGATAAATATTAATTAGTTGACACTTGTATTTTTGAAATCTAAGCTATGAACATACTTAAGATCATAAAACTTTCAGGAGGGAATTAGTTTTAGGCAGCCGTCATAAATTAGGTCTCATCTAAGCATAAAGGAAATCAATTTTCGAACACCTTTTTGAGTTTGAAATCAATAGTAGCACAAAGGGTATTTTTGAAATCTAAGCTATGAACATACTTAAGATCATAATACTTTCAGGAGGGAATTAGTTTTAGGCAGCCGTCCTAAATTAGGTCTCATCCAAGCATAAAGGAAATCAATTTTCGAACACCTTTTTGAGTTTGAAATCAATAGTAGCACAAAGGGTAAAATTCCCTCAAAGTCATATTACTCAATAAGAAATGTGGAATCAAAAAAGAGGAATCAAAAGATAGGGGGTGGAGTTACCCTCCATACCAAAATGCCACATGGAAAAAATTTAGTGCCGAGTTTGTTTTGCCTCTACCGTACCGTCCACCCTAAACACACTTTTTTAATCCTAGTCTTACACTTTTTATACCTTTCTTTTTCCTCGAAGAGATCTTGGTTTTCAATTCCTCCTGGCATGGGTCTTGCTCTATGGAATCATCCCCTGCTGGCTCAATGTCTCTCAACTTGTGTGATTTCCTTTTCTTTGAAGAAATCTTGATTTCCAATTCTTCCTGATTTGGTTCTTGCTCTATTGAATCACCTCCTGCTGATTCAATGTCTCTGAGCTTCTGTGATTTCTTCCTTTTCTTTGAAGAGGTCTTGGTTTTGAGTTCCAACTCATCTTGATGAGACCCTTCCACAGCTATAGCACCAGCTAAGAGTTCAATGTCTGTCAACTTGTGTGCTTTCTTTTCCTCAGAAGAGGCATTGGTTATTTCCTCTTTCTGGTTGGCATCTTCCTCCATTAAATCGCCTTCTCCCAAGTTCTCTTCATTTGCTGCTTCAATGCTGTTCATACCATCTTTTATTTCTGACTTTTCTCTTGAGTTACCAACATCCACTT